ATCTGTTAAGGATACGGCATGATTAGCCGCGTAGGCAAGCACGAAACTATGATGAGAACCGCAATATGCCGAGCTTATGTTTCAACAGCTCCAGATAGGAAGGCAAATATGCGCAAATATAGGGCGGAGGGAAGAATGCAAATTTTGGGCCGTACGAACCATCAATGACCCAGTACCGCTTCCTCTGTATATCTTGGCCTAGCGGTACGAGTTGCAGGTGCTCTTGGCTTTGTGGGTCGGTAGCGGGGGGACGAGAAGGGGTCATCTCCGCCTTTTTATGCTTGTTGTGTACGACACCCCACGCTCTGTCGATGATCTTCTTGATGTCATGACTGTGGCAGAGTTGGAACTCCACGAGCTGACGCAGAACCCTGAGCTGTGGTAGGATACAATAAGCACAGCCAGAACGACAAGAGAGCTCGGATAAGCGCATACTTTGATATCCCATGAAGCACCCCAGAAGCCATTCTCTATACCCTGCAAGGGATCTTCATTTGTCCTCCGTTCGTCATTCCAGAATACTCCCCTTTCCTCCCCCTTGATGTGCTCCTGGATGAGTGAGGCGATAGAGGCAGTAATCACGTCGGAACTGGGGCAGGTCGCAGTGGATTTATTTAGAGACGTGACGAGGAACCGTGCGAACGCATGCTCACCTCAAGTTACGCGTCTGCGGTCGCAAGTTAAGCACAAATCGCGAAAGGATCTGGGTCATGACGGGGTCGATGTCTGTATTCATCAACGACGTCTCAAAACTGCATATTTATAGCAAGTTAGGTGCCGGTAATGCTCAGCAGTGTACTGGGGTACGTACTCCATGGGTGAATCCAGCCCCTCAACCTTGCCTCGCAGTGCAGTGAATCGACATATGAACCCATACACAAACAGAGATTCCCATCTGTCTTTTGGATGCTTCGCGTTTGACGGAGGACATATGTGCCCCTTAGGTTCGTTATCAATGTCTGCCGAGTCTGCCTTCATGTTGTGGTTGAAGAGAGTGGCATGAAAGGAAGAAGCAGGTGAAGCGGTCACGCCTTAAATTGCCCCGACATATCCTTCTCCCGTCACGCTCAACATACAAGAGCAAACAACTCCCGTCTCAGACACGTTGTTTACGCCACTCTGGACTTAGTACAAACTTGCTGCCTGCGCATGGACCATGCGTATACAATGCTGAACCATAAATGCACCCTCGGACACCGTTCACATAGCCCCATGGGGTCATGTTTGGGAAAGCGTATATTGAAATAAGACACAGTGATACAGCGATATGTACGTGACATTAGCCCGGTCCAACCTGCCGTTACCCTCAGAATGCTAAATCTAGCGCGAAATGAAGAGTAGCATACCTTGGGAATGTCGTGGTGTTCACTGAGCGCTTCGAGCTTCGAGTTGAAGTCGCTGACCCTATCCTTGTGGGTCTTGTTGGCAAGTTTCGTGACCTTGTCTGCCAACTAAAAAAAGATAAGTATTGTGAACAATGCAGACAAAGAGGATATGCCACGCACCCGCTTGCGTTGCACCTCCTCGAACCGTTTCTCAGCTGCCGTCTTCCTTTCGCTGCTTACGACCGATGGCGAGGCCCTGCTACTACCTGCAGGTGAGGTCGTCTTGCCTTCCTCTTCCCTCATAACGGCCTCTAGCTCCAGAAGTCGCTGCTTCTCGAACTCGTCATCCTTATCCTTGGCCTTGCTCTTGGACTTTTTCTTCCTGATAAATGGATGAATATGCAACGCCTTTGAGATGTGCTGTCAATATACTTCTTCACAATTCCACCCTCGGCGACCCCTCCCTTGAGCTTGAGGGAGCCAGTGGGGCGAAAGTCATAGTCTGACATCGCCCCGTTAGAGCTGGAGATGAGCGTCGAAATGAGAAGCGAATCTGTCACGACGTCACGGGGCGTCGCGGACCCGACCGCCGTCACGCCAGGTAGGCGCGCCTCCTGGCGAAGTGCTCACTGCGTCCACCACCGCAGTCGGCACAAGGGTTGCTCTTCGAGGCCTCAGCTCACTCTTCCAATTGGTCTTCACACCCTTAGCTCGGCCCCTGACTCACCTCTATTGTCGGGCATGGCTGTCCTCTCGGCCTCACCGCTGCAGCTCGTGCAGTCAATACCACCCGTTACGCGTGCCTTCACGTTTGCTACCATTATCACTTCCCTACTGTTCTACTGGTTCTGGTGGACTGGGGATGAGAACTTTAGCGCACCATACCTCGTATTGGTGCCAGGACAAAGTATATTTTATCCCTGGACGTTCGTGACGTCTGCGTTGGTGGAGACAAGTATCGTCGAGGTGAGTTCTCCCCCTCATGTCCGGAGCCAAGACGCTAAACATCTGCAGCTTCTATTCACATTGCTTACTATCCCGGCATCTCTGAGATATTTGGAACGTCTGTGGGGTGCCGTGGAGACCCTGAAATTCAT